TATGGAGATGATACCATATTGCGCATGCGCACCATGAGCGGTGCATTCCTGTCTTTAAACGCTCCTCATTATACAGACCAAAAAGACTAAAAATACTGTTCCGACGGGATACATGTAAATCTGGGAGTAAAGAGATTTTAATGCTCGCACTCTCTTTATTATGTTTGTTTAGTTTCACGTATACACGTWAAACACATTTTGCCATAATTGTGAAACGACGCACGTTTTAGCATTTCAAACATTGAATCGTTGAGGAATGTAAAAATTTATCATCTTGCAATTTGCATTATATGTATAAGAAATATTTAAACATTATAAATATGGCGACAGTAGTAATAAAGTGAGTCGAATGTCGATAAACTGAACGCGTAGAAATTTTTGATTATTTTAACAGTTGTAGGGGTCGACGATACGGATACACGTTAAAGATATACATCTAAAAATATATATTAAAAAAAACTTTAAAATGCTTTAAAAGTTTAATCGTGGAATTTTATTGTATATTATTTTTCATATGCATAGTTAACACCGATAAACATGAAATCACGATGGTCCATCGCCCTATTTATATATTTATTGTATATTTCCGCGTTTTTTGCTTTGGTTATCAGCTACAACGTACATTTTACTTTGCGAGAGAAGCAGTGAAGGGGACGATTGAGTGGTGTGAACGTGAGGGAGAGAGTGTGATTCTATACATATATGTACATATGCTATATAATATACATATGTGTATATATGTATATGGTATATTTAGGACTTCATGGGTCTAAGATATATCAAATATACATGATTTACTTACTCGCATAGAAAACTCAAATAATTAAATAATTAGAGTTAATAGCAATGTTAATTAATGTACGGTTATTTTTTGTGGAAGTTTTTAACGAAATCATAAAACCAATCCAATTTTTATGTTCAAATTAATAAATTTCAATTGTTTTCTTTTTTTATCTCTACAATATATATACAATAATATATAACATATAGGTATATAATATTCGATATTTCGAGAAACTTTTCACTTGAAAATCTCCATGAACTAAAAGTGAAAATAAAATAAAAGTTTTAAAGGTTTCGATTTCCACCGAAGGCTTTTGTCTTCAACTTCCTAAAAGGGAGTTCTATTATCGTCTCATCATTTTATTTTAACGGGCGCCAAGTATAAATGTCACTGCAGAACAATAATGTGATTTACGATTTCAGTAGGATGACGAGAAGGGTCTTATACATATAAATTATATACACTATATATATACCAAGTTGAAATATCGCGCGGAACCCATAAAAGGCAAACGGACAAATGCCACCCTACGGTGGTCCGTGCATTTTTTTCCCTGTAGTTTAAGGGTGGGAAAATCGTAAAATTTTCTCCAAAAGATCTCCAAAATAATAGCTTTATATTTTACGAGCATTCACTGGTGTGTGGATGCTGCGCCGAGTTTTTAGGATAAGGAATGAAAACTGAAATAGTAATAAAACTGCTACCGGGTTATAAAAATACCAACACCTAAGTACGAAATAAATAAACCTGTTTATACATTCTCGAAACGTATTATAGACGATAAGTATAAAATCGTTCAAGTATTGAAATCGTACTAAGAGATAAAATTCGACATTATATTCATTTAAGGTGAAGACTACGTATAAAGWACATTTTYCAACTTCACCAAAGGGTTGAAAAAGTTACGACTTAAATCATGAATCATCTATAGAACTTGATAATCTAAAAACATTGTCTGATAACAGTTTGTTCAAAATTCCATTGGTAATCACTCCAACCAATGGTATAAGGATGAAAATAAAAATAAAATTGAAATGTTGAAATTGCAAGTATAGTTTAAAATGTTTCAATAGAAACTTTCCGAGAAAATAATGTTTCGGCACTCATCACTACGCTCCTTGGTGACATCGCTTCGCTCCGCGAATCGAAAATATTCCGAAACTTGATATGCAAATCCACCTCAAATAGGTAACAGGGTACCTATCGACCAATGCTGAACAGCTATACTTGGTCGAGAACAAATTTTTTATGATTAATAWAATTATTAACTGTAAATGATTATTTAGGTACTGTTACAATAACTATTGYGTATTTAATATTATAGGTGTTAATGAGGGGTATTGTAAGTGCCAAGCAAATATTCTTACATRTCATATTATACACAACGGTCAAAATGCATATCTATTCCATATAAATTTATTTAAATTAATATTTTAAACGACTACTATCTTCATATTTTAACCTTGTTAACATAAAACTAAATATTAGGTAGGCACTTAATCACTACAATTAAGTGGTCAAAGAAAAAAGAAAAAGTACCTATGTAGTATAATGTACTTTACATATTTTAATGGGAAAAAATGTATACATTAGTTATGTAATAATAGTATTATAGAAGTTCATATATCTATGGACTATATAAGTAATTTATAAACTCATAATTAAAAATTATTATCTTGTAATACATCGGTATCTATAAAAAGTAGGGGTAACCGTGTAGCATGCTACACTACTACCTATCGTAAATTGCCAACTGCCAAATATGTTGTACGGCTGTTTTCCATAATTTAATTTACCTACTGATTATTGATTAATAACAATATAATTAAATTAGAATTTACTTAATGCATTTCTGACGTTCATCAAGTATTTTAATACGTTACCTATACTCGGCTATACATTGTTTTGCCATCCCATACAACTTCAAATTAATTATCGTGTTATGTTGATCGCCTACACTACTCTTTTTGACGGTCCAACTGTTAGATTCTAACTAATCTGTTGCTAATCATTACATCGAGTTGGAAGGACACAACTCACTACTCAGACTAATAGTATWGGTAATAAAATATATTAATATCTAAAAGTAACTGATCGTGRGTCTTGGTAAATATTTATTATAATTATCACGATGGCTACTTAGTTATTAAAGTATTGTATCACTGTTGTAATAATATGTAGTTTATCYTAATAACATAAGTCACATGTACTTTTCGATGATAAAAAGAAATAAAAAACCTATTATATAAATAAGAGTAAGTATAAAAAGGTAGGTAAGTCATGTTTTCTGGTAGGTGCCTACCTACTTCATGCGTAAATTTTTTTAGTATCTAATTAACATATAATATACGAGTACCATATATATACGTATTAACTACAAAGTACAAACACAATTTATRCGATTTGTATAAACTATTAATACTATAGAGTATAAAATGAGATATACTGATATGTTAAGTTTAAAAATGTTGTTATTTATATACAAAGTCTGGAATGTTTAATGTTTATTGAGGAATTCAAAACTAATGTTTTATTGCTACCTGTTGGTCTACACTCTACTTCATTACATAAAGTATAAACAAGTTCAATTTTCTTTCAATACTATTTAACTAAATATCTTCACAATAACAATATTATGCAACACGAAACAAGTTTTAATATTTGGAATTCAACTGAATAATGATAGGAAAAAATACTTKGTATTCTTTTATTTTGTAAATATTTGAAATAAATACTTCAATACTTCTGAAAAAACTCTTCCATGTACTTTTAAAATACTTTTCAGTTTTGTTTTAAATATTAAGCCAATCGATAGTTATATTTTTCTTTAGGAAAATTTGATATTAGCGCAAAAATATATAATTTAATTCAAGTTATTGTTGATAAACTTAATTTAGAATATGTATAAAAATGTCCAAAACACAAAGAAAGTTAAAAAAAAACTCTTATTATAGAAATAATAAAATACTTTAAAATATTTATTCAGAATACTTTAAGGAAAAGTATTCCGAATACTGTATTAATAATACTACCCTATTAAGTMAAAACTTCTGAATTTCATTAAAGTATAGTGTAAACTGATATAAAAATTAACGATCAACATAATATTAAATTATGAAATCAAGATTTAGGATTTTTTAACAGTCATTACTGACAGTWCATAACTGCACGGTCCACTGACTAGGAACGAAATGTGCAATATAATTCATTTTAAAATCTTACGTTATTTGGATGGGATACATGATTTCCAAGCTCAATTAAATGAAAGTTCTA